CCCTATTTGCCATGAGACAAAGTATTGCCTTTTCATTATCGCTTTCGGAGCCATTTGAGTCATCATCTTCCCAAGTGGCTTACATTGCTCTTCTCTTTTTCTTTTCTTCTTTGTAAACATGACAATCAGCTTTGAAGTGTCCCGGCTTTCCACAATGAAAACAGGTAGAGGTGTCTCATTTGCTCTGTTCATTAGATGATTCACCCTTTTTGAACCTTCCCTTGTTGAATTTCTTCCTATAAAGAAATCTTTTGAAGGATTGAGTGATGAGAGCCAAGTCATAATCTTCACTTTCATTGCCGGCAACTTCCTTTTCTATTTGAGAGACTTTGAGAGCAATTTCTTGCTTTCGATGATGATCTCATTCTCTCTCTTTTAAAGTGATCTCCCATGTGAGAAGAGAGCCGAGAAGTTCATCTAACTCAGGTGTGTTGAGATTGTGAGCTTCCTTAATTGTCGTTGCTTTTGCATCCCATTTTTCGGGTAAGCTTCTTAGAATTTTCCTTGCAAGATCAAAGTTAGTTATAGTTCTGCCAAGATGTTTTAACCCATTAATAATTTCAGTAAATCTCACAAACATTGCACTAATAGACTCATTTTCATTCATACGAAACAATTCATATTAATGCATAAGAATGTCAATTTTAGATTCCTTGACTTGTGAAGTTCCTTCATAAGTAACCTGAAGTTTATCCCAAATTTCTTTAGCTATGGTGCAAGTAGAGACTCTATTATATTCACTCGGACTTATAGCACAATTTAGATTAACTTTGGCTTTAGCATTTAAAGAGATAAGTTTATAATCCTCGGTGTCCCATTCAGCTTCAGTTTTAGGGATTCTTCTTGTGTCAACAATTTTCATTGGAACAAAAGGTCCATTAACTATAACTAGCCAAATTTGATAGTCTACGGATTGAAGAAAGTCTATCATTCTGTTTTTCTAATAACCGTAGTTTGTTCCATCAAAACAAGGAAGTCTAGTATTAGATTGGCCTTCTTGATGAAGATGACCATTTAAGTTTGCCATGATCGTTCTCTAATACACTTAAGCTTTTTCAATAGAGTTCTAGCTCTGATACCAATTGTTGCCCAAGTATAGGCTCTAGAGGGGGGGTGAATAGAGTCTAAGCAAACTAAGGTCAATTTTGAATTTTAACTCACTAACTATAACAAGACTCAACTTCCTTGATAAATATTGAAGAAGGCAAACTGAATTTTAAACTTCAAAAGACACTATTTATCAAACAAGATATGCAGCAATAAAAGTAAGAAATAGAGATAGAAATTGCAAACATATACTCAGCGATTTTTAGCGAGGTTCGGAAACTCCTACTCCTCGGCTCAAGACCCCTCTTGAGACTTCCCAATTCATTATGGCTTCTCCTTGCGGGTGGAGAGCAAACCTTTTGCAAGAAGCTCTTCCTTGCTTCTAGGTGCTAAGAGAAACACCTTCTCTTAGTCTTTCTTGGGTCACACCAGCCCTTATAAGTTTTGAACAAGATTGAAGAAGTACAATATGATCTCTCTTAGATCTGAAGTACAAGATACAGGTCACTCTTAGTCTTTCTAAAGTGTGTGTGAATAAATTGAAGCTCAACTCTCTTTTAGGATATGAGATATGTGTATATAATGGTGAAAGGCTTTTTGATTACTAGAAAATCTTTCTCAATAAATGCCACCAGCTTTTATGAAGGCTACCAGTCATTATATAGACTTTCAGAATTGTCTGATATGAATTCTAGCTGTTGGACACACACTTCAAGGAATAAAGCCCGTTTGAAATTTGAATTCTTGCAGGTTTGATAGACCGAAATAAATTACTCTTGAGGATCGGTCGACCGATTTAGTCAAAGGATGGCCATCAGCCTTGGTTCGGTAGACCGATGAAAGAGTCCTCTTTGGTTCGGTCGACCGATTTGATTTGAGGTTGATTACTAACCATGTTTCGGTAGACCGATGAAAACTTCCATCTATTTCGGTCGACCGAAATTCCTTTCTCAAAAACTCTAAAACCTTCTGTGAGAATTGGCTCTGCTGACTCATTCACCTCTTTAGATTCGGTCGCCTGAAACTTAAGTGAGACTTTCAATATTCTAGGTTCGGTCGACCGATTTAATAAGGTCCTGAGGTTCGGTAGACTAAAATAGCTTAGGGGTTTTGATCCAAGGTCTCCATTTATATCGGTCGACTGATTTAATGTGCCCTTCCAATTCGGTCGACGGAATTGGTTTATGTTTCAGGAAACTTGCTATGATGATGTGTTCCGAATTGGTTTATGTTTCAGGAAACTTGTTATGATGATGTGTTAAACTTGGTCCTTTGGTCCTTAGGGATTATGAATGAGTTGATTATGCATGATTTGAGAAATATGAGCTTCAAAGTGTTCATACAAACTTTAACAAAGAAATCTAAGTAGCTCACCATCCTAGCTATCCCATTGATGACATCTAGATAACTTCTTTTAATCTTGAGTCTTCTTTGTCATGTCTTGACAATGCTTTCTCCTTTGAGCTTTAATGTGTACTGACTTGTGTTGATGAGTGTTTTTAATCTGTAAATTTACTCAAGGTAGATATTAGTACACAAAGAACATCATTAATAAATTATGATCATCAAAAGCCTTAAATTCAAGGTCAACAGCTCTTATTTGGCTGAATTAGCTTATTTTGGGGATAAGCACCTAAAAAGGGCAATAACACGAAATTAGTCTAAAACGGGAAAGTAAGATAGATAAAGGTCATAGAATACCTAAGCTTAAGGGGTTTAAATGTGCACTTTTCAACGCTCATCACAAGGTAACCCAAAAAAAATAGGTGAAGCTCTTCTCACAACCTAATTCATGGAGAATAATCATTTGCCCGCACTTTTGTCCATGGATTCAAATTCAGCCACGCATGAAGAAATGGAGAGAGAGTTGAATTGAGTCATCAATCTATCCCGATCACAAAAATAAGGTGAGAGTGGTTTTGTATTAAAAGAAAAGGTCATAGATGGGTTTAAAAAATGGCCGTTAGATTTAATCTAACGGTTAGGTGGGTGCCCATTCATCTATATGCAACCAATGGTATGGGATGTGTTTATCCTCCTACTATGATTGTGGAGCCCCTTCAGTTATAACCCCTTGATCCAAATTTTTTTTTTTTTTTAGGCTTGCTAACCCATGGTGGATTGGGCCTTCTCTAACCCGGAGGTATGAGTTCTAGTCCTCATTGAGGCTAGGGCATTCATTCAGGTCCTCTATAACCTGTGAGGATCAAGTGGTCACCAATTTGTGTTACGCTTGGTGACAAGCCCACGCTACTGAGTTCGGCTATCATGAGAAACAAAGAAATCTATTATTAAGATGTATGTAATAATATATTTTATTAACGTGGGATTTTGTTAAGTGTTCAAATTTTTAAGAATTAGAAAGTATTAATGTTTCTATCAAGTTATTCAGCCCTGATTGCCCAATTCATGGTAATATTGAATCAGCACTCCAAGTTTACACTAAGTAAACTAGAATCATCAAAGATCGATCCATTCTACTCCAAGTTAATTGACTCCTAATGCCACAAACACATAAATTTACCTTGAATATGCAGAAGATTGTTTCAATCAAAAAAAATAAAAAAAAATAAAATTGTATATCTATATCAATACTAAAACAGAACACTGTGAATACTAATCTAATGGATGAAAACTGATCCCACTTCATTTTTTTTTTTTTTTTTTTCATATTGATAAGGCAGTCGCAATTCGCTTCCTGAAGAATAATACATTATGCACAAGAACAGTTGGAGTCATTCCCTCAACAACCGGAGAGGATACAAAGGAATAGTAACAGTTTAGTTACAGAGAAACTTGCACAATCATTTTATGTTATGGGCTTGGAATTGGGCGAAGCTCTGACGTGGAGGAAGCGGAGCAATTAAAAAACAACAGTGACTCTGCGATTGGGGCAGGCCGTCTTCTCCATTGCTTCTCTTCTCTTCTCTTCATGTGTTTGGATGTTGAGTTCTTCAGTTTCACGGCTTTCTGTAATTTCCGATTCCACTGCCTTAATCACTCCTCAATTGGGTTTAATGGTATTTGTTTTTATTAATCTTCAATACCCATTTCATAATTTCTGTTTTTCACTTCAATTCTCTCTGTTTTGGTTGCTGTTTGATTGATTCTTAGATGAATTGTAGACTGATAGATAAACTTTTGTATCTTCTACAATTATCCACATATTTTTTTGCGGTTAATTGGGAATTAAGAGACTCTTGATCATATAATTTAGGTTTATTGCAAAATTATTTGCTGACAATTCTATAAAAAGAATTGAAGTTGGGGCAAATAATTGTGGAGTCCCAAACATGTCAATGGAAAATATCAAAATTAATGCCACTAAATTTGATTTGGGGGTATTATAATAACAATTAAAAATAATTAACCACAAATTCAATTAATTATAATTAAAAATAAATTACAGATGGTTTAGAATTAAAACAAATTTAATAAAAGTTCCAAATTAATATATACATGAACAAATCTAAATTAAAATAGGAAACTAATTATATGGGTGTGTGAATGTATATAGTATGAAGTTTAAACAAAATAAGTATTCTAAAACGAATTATGTATATATTCATATCTAAAACTAATTATGTGTATGTGTGTGTATATATATAGTATAGATTTATTATGGGTTCAAACAAAATGGGTATCTATATATATATAATGTGTCTATATATATATAGCTTTAGAAATATTTTATTTAAGTTAAAAGAATTGTTTTGACAAAGTCAAAGAGTATTTAAGTCATTTTATATGACACAATATTTTATTTAAGTTAAAAGAATTATTTTGACAAAGTCAAAGAGTATTTAAGTCATTTTATATTGTGTCATAACTGTTCAAGTAACGGTTTGTAATGTGAGTAATAGTTATTTTTGAAAGATATTTGAAAGTAATATTTGGCCAAACCTGAAGGGATGTCAGTAAAATTAATCCTACATAAAAGAACTAAAATGCAATTTTTGTCAAAGAGAGGGCATTACAAATAACTAAAATACAAAAGAATTATTTCCAAACAAAAATAAAATAAAATGCAAATAAAGATACCCAAAACCTCGACACTTGAAAATAAATTTTGAATATCATAATTGATCTACTCGGTACAAAGGTAAGCACTATCGAACATTCACAAATTTCAATTCAAATAAATCCTATAACCCAGCCCAATTCTGTTATTTTAGAGAAACTATCCAATTAGCCAAATCAAACCTAAAAAACATGAAAGCCTGCAACCGACATTTTCTCCCAATTGTCCCACAATTCAAAAATATAGAGAAAATCTTTATGCATCAGAATGACAATTACACGAGATCTTTATACCCATAATAAGAAACTCAAGAACTTTATCAATGCACATCGAAATAGATTGTGAACTAAAGTTGAGAATCAACATGGACTTGGGCTAACAAAGCTAATTGTGAACTTGAGGGTAGGTTATCAATTGCAACATCATCATCTGCCTTCTTGCAGTTGTGATTTATCCTCCAAATACTATTTTCCCTGTCGAACATTATCTATGATAATGTTCAAACAGTCTGTGCAGCCACCAAGGAATCACCTTCATATCTGCAGTCACACAAGAATCATTAATGTTGTTGTAGGCTTTCAAAAGAGCTCAATGGACACAACTGCAAATCTCAAGAAAGAAAAAAACCATCAAATTCCGGCTATTGAAATGCATTAATCTACAATTAATTAAGTACTATTATTATTGTGTAAAACGACAAACAGGAAGTTGCACAATCCAAAAACGAACTTACCCAACCCAACATATTCACTCAATTTTCTGAATTCTCACAAAAATCCTGGAAAGAAGACATGCATCAATCTCATCGCACTACTATCCTCTAAAACACAATGATATTAGGGGAAAAAAATTTAAAATATCTGCTCAAAAAAATAATTTATAAAATCGTATACACTTCATGAACTTGTGATCCGGCACGGTAACTCCAATTCACCTAACTCCAAATCACCGCACTCGTGATCTTTTAAGTCTAAGCATGTTCTGTACAACGTCATAGAAAAAATCAATCCTCTTCAAAGGCTCTGTTAAGGTTTTATTCCTTCTCAACCAATAAAATAGAAGAATTAATAAAATATATCAATATACATTAATTTTAAAAACGTAACAGAGGAAAAAGAAAAAAAATAATAATATAACTTACTCTTCATCTCTACGATATCCCTTGGATTTCGTGAATATATCACCCTTATCACCCCTTCTCTCTCTTGAAGAGGTTGTATTCACAATAGTTTTGTCATTATACAAACCATTTCAGGGATACCAAGTGGTTGTTATCATTTATATATATTCCACTCTTCAATAGTTGTTTCAGGTAGGATTTTTTATATCCACTCTTGGTTTTTGAATTGTTGTTTCAAGGTAGGATCTTTTATATCTCACTATCGAGTTGTATTGTTTCACAGGATAGGATCAAGTGGATATAGTTTCACAAGGTAGTATCTTTTATATCCATTCTTTGATGGTGGTTGTCGAATTGTTTTTTGAAGGTATGATCTTTAATTTATATCCTACTATCGAGTTGTTGTTTCACAAGATAGGATCAAGTGGAATATAGTTTCACAACGTAGGATGTTTTATATTACGTTTTTCCATGGTTCATTGTTGCACGAGCTCTAGTTATGTTCCTGTAAATAAATAAATAAAAAATAGTAGAAATTAAAAAAGGATCAAACATATTAAAATTCTATTATTAAGAACTTAGATTTACTTGTCCACAACATTAATAAGCCTATGGGGAAAATGAAAAAGATGAGCAGATAAAAAGTTGAATGATTTCAAACATAATTAAGAGGTTTAGATAGAAAGAAAAGAAAATCAAAATCGGGTAGTATTTTTAATGCAAAATAACTTAATAAAAAAAAAACAAAATGAATGGAAAATAAAAAGTACTCTAGTAACACCGTAAAATGTAAGTTGTACGTAAAGAAGAAACATTGTACAATCAAACAACAAGCATATAATGAATAGCAATGGAATGGCAGTATTTGAGGCCAGACCAAAACAAAGAGTGTAGAAAATGAACTACAAGAATAAAGAATTACAATCCCATCTCACCAAGAAGAATAAGAATCCATCTAGCTGAGCAATTGAACTCATATCAGCAGAAGCTATCTAATAGAAATTCTAAAACTCAGCAGTCCATAGTAGTAACCATTTCCATCCTAAACACCACATTGCAAAGGCATTCATTTTTTTGACAAATAGATTACAAGCACTATACAAATAGTGTTTAACTACATTAAGAGGTTAAAAAGGAATAACCGTCAGCAAGTTCTTTCGTCTCCTGAACAGCCACATCAACTCTCTTCAAATATTTACAGTAGACAAGTTTATGCATTTATGTGTACGTATATATGAAATTAAAAATATATATTATTCTATCATTTAGAAATCTTAACTTATCATCCACCTATGTAGTTGACAAAACAATTAGGTTGATGTAAAATTATAGCATGCATATATAATCTAATTTATAGTATGCAAAAAGAAGATCACTCAATTTGACTGTTGGGCGCATTCTAATTATAAAATCCCTAGACCAAAAAAATAAAAAAATAAATCCCTTAACGAAACAATTAGCATAAAGCTAATTAAAGCTAAATCCTACAAGTAGATCAATAATTGTGTTTGTATGCAATGCCGTCTTCTTATACTAATTGCAGTTTTAATTTTTTTTTTTTTTAGAAAATAAAGCAACTGACAGTGATTTTTAAAATATTTACAAGGTTTGAGCCGAAGCCCAAATACAAAGGATAAGACAGGCCCAAGTGGGCAACAAGGCAACAGACCATTCAAATAACAAAGTGACTCATACTAACTGTCATTGAAACCATTAGCTATGAGAACACTTAGAATCAATTCCAGTGAGTGTTTGTAGCCGAATTAACAGCTAACTCAAGCAATCTGGAGGGCGAGGAGGTGGTCTGCAGCATGACGGAGGTAGATTCCATTCTAAGAGGATTGATCTCGAGGCTGTGCAATCCTTTAGAAATCCCATTCTCAGAATTGACGTAGTGGAGTAAGTGATTTTGGCTGGAAGAGTTCTTTGTGAGCAGCTTCCCTTCTTGAAGATTCTACTATTGCGTTCTTCCCAAGTGTGATAGACAACTGATGAGAGACATATTTTCCTAACCAAATTTTGGGGAGAATTGGACTTCCACATGAAGCTTACCAACTGCACCAACATGCTCCAGTTTGAGATCACTGTTGAGAAGTGACACTTGTCCTTGATGAACCTCCAAATTGGCGAGATGAAGGAGCAAGTGAAAAACAAATGGTTATGTGATTCCATTGCATTAGAGCAAAGTGGGCACAGGCTTTGGAATTTGCTCATGGATTTGCAGTCAAGTGTTGGCAGTCTAGATTGGACTGCCAACCACAAGTTGAATTTTATCCGAGGTATGATTGGGGAACTCCATACCAAGTTAAACCAAGGGACCTTATCAAGATGCCCTGCCAAGTGAGCAGTAGTATGCTTGAAGTTGTAGCGTCCAGTAAGTGATGCAATCCAAATCTTCTTGTCAGTGATATCTGGACATGGAGATTGAATATGTAATAACTCTAGGATAAGAATTGTGAGTGCCTGTGGAAATGACCAAGCGTAGCTTATGTCAATGAATGCATCAAGAGTGGTGGTTTCATTTATGCCAGCTACAGTGAGAACAGAAGATGAAAATCTAGTGCAGAGTAAACCTCCTGGAGCCCAATTGTCCGACTAAAATGATGTGTCAGTTCCATTACCAACCTTGTGTTTGATTAATAGCCTAGTTGGATGCCTTAACTATAGTACTTTCCCCCAGCTCCATGAGCAAGAGTGAGGAATTTTTAGTCACCACAGGTTTTTGGATTTGATAAGGGGGGAGTTGCATCACCTAATCCAAATTCTATCCAAGCTTCCACATTGCAGATCCCAAATGTGCCTCATGATTCCTACTTTGTTTGCCTGCTCTAAGTTTAGAATGCCCAACCCTCCATCTTTTTTAGGTTTGCAAACCTTGTGCCAAGCAACCTTAGAACTGGAAGCTTTCATCTCAACCCCAGACCAAAGAAAGGATCTAAAGATTCTGTTGAGCTCATCAATGACTCCTTTTGGTAAAATGAAAATACTGCTCCAATAGATTTGTGTTGATACCAAAACAACCTTGATAAATTGTAATCTGCCTACATAGGAGAGAGACCTTGAAGTCCAGTGGGATATTTTTTTGGTGATTTTGTTGATGAGCAAGCTGCAATGTGAGGCTTTAAGGCATGTTGTGATCAGTGGCACTCCAAGGTATTTCACTGGGAGGTCAGCTTGTTCAATACCAAGTAATGAGATAATAGCTTCCTGAGTGTGAGCCTCAACTCCAGAGAGAAAAATTGAGCTTTTGTTCAAGTTTACCTCAAAACCTGACATGCAACAGAAGTGGTCAACGGCACATTTAAGAATTGAGACTTAAGAAATGTCTCCATGACAAAATAAGAACAAGTCATCAGCATATGACAGGTGCGTGATCTTTGGATCCTTGCATCTCCAATGATACTTGAAGGAGTGAACCCTATCCACAAAATTCTTGATAATGGAGGAAAGGGCATCCATTGCAATGACAAAGAGAAAGGGTGAGAGGGGGTCCCCTTGCCTCAACCCTCTTTTCCCTTTGAAATACCCCTGAAACTCTCCATTAAGAGCAACAGTGAACGATGGTGAGGTCAAGCATGCTTGAATAAGTGAAATAAATTTCTGTGAGAAATAATCGAGAGTGAGACAGTTGAGCATGAAGTCCCATTTGATAGAGTCAAAAGCTTTCTTTAGGTCAATTTTGGCACATCTTGCTGGCTTGGACTGCTTGTGATACCCCCTCAGAAGCTCATGTGTGAGTAGTATAGGGTCTGTAATTTTCCTGCCATGGATGAAAGCTGATTGGGATGGATCAATGATGACAGGCAATGTTTGTTGCAACTTCATTGAAAGTAGTTTAGCAATGCATTTGTAGATGGTGTTTACATAAGAGATTGGCTTATAATCATGTAGAGAAGTGGAGTTTTGGCATTTTGGAACCAAGCAAATGTAAGTATTGTTTACCTCCCCCAAAAGTTTCGCATTCCTAAATAACTCAGCAATGGCAAGAGTGACAGATCTTCCAACAATATCCCAGGCTTTATGGTAAAAGAGGGCATTATATCCATCTGGCCCTGGTGCTTTGGTTGTGTTGAGGTTCAGCATGCAATTCTGTATATCCATGTGGGATGGTGGCTTATCAAGGAAATGGTGGAAGTGTGTGGGCACTTGAGCTGTGATTAATGGTGAGAGATCATTGATGTGGTAAGTGCTTGTGGGAGTGGTTCCTAGTAGATTGTGGAAGTGTGCAACAACCTCGGTCTTAATGTCCTCCTTGTCATAAAGAGTGTGGCTTGAATCAGTTGAGAGTGAGAGTATTTTGTTCCTATTGGCCCTTGAGCAAACTGATTTGTGGAAGAAGCTTGAATTACAGTCCCCTAGTTTTAGCCAGGACATTCTTGACTTTTGTCTAAGGATATCCTCATGGATGTTGCCCAGCCTTAGGAGCTCAGTGGTAAGTGCCTTCTCCAACTGTCTAAGGCTGTGGTCACCAGGTGTGTTGTCTAAATCCATTTGGCAGGCACTCAGCTCCAGCCTCACAGCTTGCAGCTTTGATTCTACCTCAGAAAATTCCTTCTTGCAGTTTGATCTCAGCACCTGTTTTAGTAGCTTTTGTTTTTGGACCACCTAAACCATAGCTGTGCCTTTGATGTATTTAGTCCAAATAGCATGAATTGATGAATGGAAGTTTAGATGCAGGGATCAGGCACTAAAAAATCTGAAAGGTACAGGCCTTCTTGGGGTGCTAAGATCCAGAGTTACTAGAATTGGACTATGGTTTGAAATGTTTGGGGGAAGAAAGGTACATTCAGATAAAGGAAAGGTTTCAGTCCATCTAGGGTTTACTAATGCTCGATTTAATTTCTTAGCAATGCAAGCATTCCCCAAACTCTTATTGCTCCAAGAATAGAGAATTCCATTGAACTTCAAGTATTCAAGTTCTGTTTCTTGCAAATAGTCATTAAAATCTGTCATTGCATTACTCCATCTCATTGAACCACCATGACTTTCCCCAATATTTGGAATAACATTAAAGTCACCCATTAGCAGCCATGGTGAGTTTGAGAATAAGTGAGCATGGTGGATTAGATCCTCCCATAGAAGCTGCCTATCTGTTGCAATGTTAGCAGCATAAACAAATGATGTAAAGAAGTCAACATTCTGCCCTAATACTGAGATTGAGCAGTGAATAGCCTGTGAGGTTGTGGTGATGACAGTTAGATTGATGATGTTGGAGTTCCATAACACCCAAATTCTTCCCAAGTCAGAAAAGGTGTAATTTTGTACCATGCTCCAAATAGGAGCAATATTCCTATGTATAGCTGCAGCATTTATAGGTGACACTTTGGTCTCCACAATTGAAACTATATCTATTTTCTTTTCAGAGATCAATCTCTTAATCTCTGCTTGCTTAGGGGGTTGGTTTAACCCCCTAATATTCCATGTTAGGAGTGTGATCATTTAAAGGGGGGAGAGAAAGAACCTCCAAGATGTCTCACAGACATCAAATCAGTGCAGGGACTCTTCTTCTTCCTTTCAACCTTCTTTAAACTTCTCATTGATTACAAGACACTATACTGAGTGCCTTCTGGTTCAGAGAGTGAGGATTGTATAGAGGTTGTCCCTCTATTTGGGGTTAGAGTCTGTGGTGCATAATGAGGTGGTGAAAGTCTCAGTTTAGGGTTTGATAAGTAAGTTGGGGATTTGTGATGTGCTTTCTTGTTCTGTTTGTTGTACTGGGGGTGTGTTGTAGGTGTGATGCGTTCTGGTTGGGGAGTTGAGTGATGGTGATGCATAGTTGGCAAGGAGGATGGTACTGGGATATGGTTAGTTGGAGTGAGTGGACTGTTATTATGAGAGAAGTTTAACTTTCTGCTGCACAATGGTGAAAAGAAAGGAGTATGTTGATGAGCGCTAAAAAGTGCGCGTTTAAACCCCTTAAACTTGAGCATTCTATGACCTTTATCTATCTTATTTCCCCGTTTTATTCTAATTTTGAGTTATTGCCCTTTTCAGGTGCTTATCCCAAAAATAAGTCAATTCAGCCAAATAAGAGCATTAATGAAGTCAACTCAAGCTAAATGGAAGAAAGGAGTAAAATGGAAGCTAAATGAAGCAAAGTGTGGAAATTCAGCATGTTCGATCGATCTCAGCATTTCTTCGATCGATCGAAAGTTCATCGATCTAAACAGTTCAAGATGGATCCAAGCCTTTGTCCTTATATCGATCCAACATTTCCCAGATCGATCAAAATGATTTGATCTTATCCACACCTACCACCCACCTACCACTTTTGTCTTCTTCCCAAAAATATCAGAGATTCGTCTTTATTCAAAAAGGCGCCGCCAAGGATGATCAATTCCTGCAGCATTCGATGGATCTGAGCCATGTTCGATTGATCGAACTTCCTCAAGTCCGAAAAAAAATAGATTCCAGCTCATTAAAAGTTGGCTCATGGTGCAATCACTGGAGGGACCTTGGTGTACGAGCCCAGACCATTAGGTATGACACTTAACCTACCTATATAAGGATTTTGAGCTATTTTTACATCATAACTTGTAACATTCAACATAACTTGTATTTTTCTTATCTTGGAGAGGAGGCTAGAGATTAGAGAGCTTTACACATTTTTGGGGAGTTCTTCCATTCTTCTAGTGTTTCCATCAAGAAGAAGGTCATTCCTACCATAGAGATAGCCATTAAGGGTTGGATGACTACTTCAATGAGTGGCTAGACATCTACTTGGGGCTAGAGTAGCCCCTAAGTTTGCTTCCTAGACTTAGTTCTTTGTATATTTTTGGGGATTTATTTGTAACAATGTTTTGATCTTGGACTTATATATATATATCTTGTGGTTTCTACTTGATGTATATGGATTAATGCTTTCAATTGATTATCTACTTCTAACCATATGTCTATGTATGCTATAATGGATGATTCGTGTGCTTTTCTCTAGATTTAGTGGAGTTTATGCATGTCTATGTGTATGGATGAAGTTAATCTAGAGATGGTCAAAACATAGAGCTTAATTGAACACTCTTGCAATTTATTTGATGGTTCACACTTGTTTCTTGATGGATTGTACCACACCCTTAGCTTACTTAATTTAATTTCATGTATTTAGTGTAGATGTAGTGTAGTTGCTTTAAGTTCATAGATAGGTGGACAATCTATGGACAATCTACTCTTGTTCCTTGGTGTTCCATACTTATGAATGCATTAGATGTATGTTTCTAAATAGTTGTGTATGCATAAATTATGGTTTCATTGAATGGATTTTGGTCTCATTTGATAGGTTGTGTTTTTCATTTGATTTGGCTTGACAATCTATGCTTATTTGCCATCCATGCCTAGTTTCAATTAATGTTACACACACACACAAGTTACAAGTCAATTTCCCCATTAATATACAATTGCTAGTGTCTAGTGAAGTCAAGCTTAGTGGTGAGCTCTAGTACCCCAAGTCCTCCCTTCTATATCTTTCTCTAATTTATTAATCATTGAATTTTGTTTACTTTAATTTCATTTGCATAATAGCTTAATCAATCAATCCAACCAACCTTTGATCACTCGACCTATTAAACCTATATATTGTTTCCATTACAAAGGCACCCACAATCCCTTGGGACGATCCCTACTCACCCTAGCTATATTTTTAGTTAGAGGTAGTAGTGGCTTTTACAAATTTAAAACTTGGCCACATTGCACAATCACACTCTTAGTGCAACATATTTTGGCAAACTTTTGGTGCAACCGACGACACACCACCATATGTGTAGGGGAGTCTAAGTGGTTGCTCATAATGGGGTTGTCAATTGAGTTATTGTTTTTAGGTGGGGAATTGTAGTATGAAGGTTGAGAGATGGGATTTGTAATGCTCTTCTGGTTTGTGTGTGGTTGTGGACATGCTAGAGGTTGGAATTGGTTGTTGTTTTGTTTTGTTTTAGGGGTATGGGGTATGGGGTAAGTGTTTGGGTGTTTGGCCTTTGCTGAGTTGTGGTTTATTCTTTTTCTTCTTGATGGTCACCCATTCTGTGGCTGGTTGTATTGCTGGACTGTGTTCAATCATTGAAAGGCTGGACTGTGGTTGAGCTTGATTGTTTTGTTGCTGCTGTGGAGGTTGTATGATATTTAGTGGGCAGGAGCTGACAGTATGAGTGAGCTGGTGTCACTTACAGCAGAATTTTGGTAACCATTGGTATTCAAGTCTGATTTCAACTAAGTTCCCATCTATTCTGAGTTGGACTTCATTCTTCAGAGGCTTCTTGAGGTCAACATTTACACACAGCCTTGCAAATTTGAGTTTGGTTCTGTCTTCAGTTGCTTAATCAGCATATAATGGTTCACCCACTGAGCTAGCTATGTAACTGAGCCCGTTTGCTGTCCAAAAGTCTAGTGGGATGTTGAAGAATTTGATCCAAGTTGGAATACAGGCAATGGTTGATGGCTGTGTATGTGCTTGGTTGGTCCATCTCATCAAGGAGAAGGGGTGTCCAGCAATGGACCATGGTCCAAGTGAGAGAACCTTCTCTACTTGGGATGAAGAGTTGAATCTAAATATGAAAATGTTGTTTTCTCCCATAATTGTGTGAGTAAGACCATGGGATGTCCAAAGTTTAGCTGTAGCAGCTTAGACCACCTTGAAGAGGAGTCTTTTCTGGAATGATTTCCTAACTAGATGTAGAGAACCCTAAAATTTTAACCATTCTTCAGCAATTTCTTGAGGAGGATCGATGATGAATGGAGAGTGTGAACTGGGGAAGTAAAATTTAAGAACCATTTTGTTGTTGTTTTGCTATACTACATCAGTCCATGGTTTTGCCCCTTAAGTATTTGGTTTGGTTTGCAGTGGGATGGTTATAGTGTTTCCAGTGATTTGTAGGTTTGCGTCTGGTATAGCATTTAATGTAGTGGTGGGGGATTGTTGGATGTTTGTGGTAGGTTGTGGAAAGTGGTCAATAATATTACCATTTTTAGCTGTATGAATAGTGTTTTGAACTGATGCCTGCAGTGGAATAGTTACCTGCCTTGGTGATGTAAGTAAAGCATTGTGTATGGGATTCAAATTTGAATTTGGGGACAAGCCTGGACCCACCATTGTGTCATGGTTAGTGCCGTTGGAGGAGGAGGTGGTGGCTGCGGAGGTGGTGGCCGGTGGCTGCTGTAGGTGGCTAATCAGTAGCTTGACCTTGTCGAGTTCCATTTGCAGTTCAGCATTGATCTTCTTCTGATTATCATACATCTCCATTGCTCTTCCCAAATTCTCATCCTTCCATTCAAGTTGTTCTTGTAGCCTATCAATTTGGTGAGCTGGAGATGAGTACAACAGTCGGTTGAAATTCCTTGGTAAGTTTCCTTGTGATGGAGGTTGGTGGTGAGTTGCCTTTGAGCTGTTAGTGTTCTTTTGTATGGCATTATTGGTTGGTCATATGGGTTTTATGGTAGGTGAAGGAAAATGAGAGTGTGGTTGACCTGAAATTGAGGATGGAATTGGAGGAGGATAAACCTGTGTGAGGGAAGGTATAGCTGCTATTGATTTTTTGAGTAACAGTTTAGGAGATGTTTGCTTCAAGGGTGGTAAGGCTTGGTTTGTTTGACCTTGTGAATGGGTTATATTTCTTTGCTGAAATGGTTTGGCAGTTGAGGTCTTTGGCTGTTGTAAAGGTTTTGTAGTGGGTTTTTTAAGGTCTACTTGTTTTTTCGAGGATTTTTGGATGAATGATGGGGTAGTGTTGTATTGGATCGGTGGAATAAATGGAGGTTTAAGGTGATTTGCAGTCGGATTCCTTAGTGAAGGTTGAATTCCATGGTTGGAAGCTTTGGGTTTGTAGAGAGGATGCATTGTGAAGATGGTGATGGTGATGATTGCAATTAAGTTTTCGAATAAATTTGAGTGAATTGTCCATCCAGTTTTAATTGGTTGAATAGATAGGATACAGAAAAACACATCTGATACTTGAGACTAATTGAAAAGTATGATTTATAAATTCTTCAAGCAATGGTCACAGTTTAATTTGTCCAATGAATAATTTCAAATACATAAGAAACGCAAGAAATGCAATGTAGCACCCTTAATTAACAAAAGAACAAGTCCCAAAATCATACCTATTTTTTCCAAATCTACTCAATCCAAATGACATTTTTCTCTTCCCACCGAGTAAACCTTCAAGGAAAAAAATAAATATTTCTGAAATATGTCCATTGATAATTAAATTATTTTTATTCGTGATTTAAGCTAGCATCACAGTCATATGGAAGGATGTATAACAGAGTAATAACAAAGAAGAACCAAATTTCTAAAAACTATAAAATCAGAAAAACAAACATATCATTGCAGACCTTAAAAGAAAGCAGAATAGCATCACCTGAGGACTAAGAAGGCATATTCGTCTGAAGAGAAAATATTAGGATTTGCAAGAGATAGAGAGAGATAGAAGACTTCTCACCGGAACTCTAAGCGATGGTGAGAAGGAGATTGAGAAAGATTAGAGATTTCAAGAGATATCAAGGAGAACGAGATCAGAGAGAGAGCAACGGAACCTTCACCTCTCCGCGGTCGCTAATAGAGGTGTGGAAGGCAACCGGAAATTTGAACAACGACCGCAGAAACGAGGGACGTGGAGGGAAGAGAAGAATGAGGGTATAGTGTGGGAGAAGATTGAGTTATGGTTTATACGCAACACTCTACAAAGTTGCATATATATATATATATATATATATATATAATCGATGTTAACAGTCTATACGTGTATATGTGGAGGAGTGGGTGGCTGGGTCAGTCAAAATAATTGACTGTCTACAGTTGCTTTTCAACAAAGACTAATTACGTAGTAGTAATTACCAACAACTTTTAGACAAAAATATAAATATTACTGTACTGCCCAGTCAAAAGAATTGACTGGCCACTTACCCAGGACAAAGAAAAAAAAAAAAAAAAAAAAAAAAAACGAAAGTACAATTAGAAAGAGATTTGCAGCCACACAACATGTAGAAAGAGTGCCAATTATGTTACAAGGGCCCCAGCTTTCAAGCACCACTACGAAAAGTGCACCGATCAAGTTATTACTGACCTTTCTTTTGCAGATAGTCTCCTATTGCTTTGCTTTGGTAATATAGAATCCATCTCCATTATCAAGTCTACCTTGGACTATTTTTGCTCAATGCCTGATTTCACAATTAATCTGTCTAAAAGCTCAATCTTCCTCTCTGGTGTTCCACCACACATTGAAGATGCCATCACCAATTTGCTTGGCATTCACAAGGGTTCTCTTCCCATCAGGCTCTTGGGAGCTCCATTAATAACTACAAACCTTAAAGCCAATGACGGTAGAGAAGATTACTCACAAAATTTCTCATTAGACTGCAAGATCTCTCTCTTATGCAGGTAGATTGCAGCTTGTTAGATCTGTCCTTGTATCCACACAGTTCTATTGGTTCAGTATCTTGATTCTTCCAAAGAGTGTTATCAATGAACTCAATAGGATTCTCAGATCTTTCTTATGGTATGGCCCAGAGATGAAATCTAATGGAGGAAAGGTAAATTGGGAAGCAGTGTGCAAACCTGAGGTTGAAGGGGGTTTGGGTCTGCCCAACCTAGAATTATCTAACCATGCAGCTATCCTGAGATATATTTGGGAACTTCACACAGGAATTTCTGGTCATTGAAAGTCCCTCACTCCTGCTCTTGGAGTTGGAGGAAAATTCTGCAACTCAGACATCATGCAAGGCATTTTATCAAGCATATTGTTGGTGATGGGAATGATACCTCATTTTGGTTGGATAATTGGTCCTCTGGAGGGTCTCTATGCCATCGATTTCCACCATCCATCCTCTCCTTTTTGGGTATACATGAAGACACAAAAGTTGCTCACTTTATTGTCAACAATTCTTGGAGCTTTCCAACTCAATTATCCTCTGCAATCCTGAACTCCTCTCTTTACAACAACCTTCTCCTTTCAAGAAGGACAAATTGATTTGGTCTGTTCCCCTTCTAGTTCATTCAGCTTGAAGCACACAACTTTCCACCTATCACATCATGGTCCTACAGTTCCTTGGCACAACCTTGTATGGCAAACACTTTCCATCCCGAGAATGAAATTCTGTTTAGGGCAGGCTTCCAACACTTGATTGCAGATCCATGGCTCACCATGATAACATTTGTGCCCTTTGCAATACTGAAACGGTGTCCCATTCTCATCTATTCTCAAACTGCACCTTCTCTTCCCCTCTTTGGAAATTCATCTCAGACAGATGAAGGTTCTATAAAGCTTTTCACAGTTGGGAAGAATTGATTCTATGGACTAGTGTTCGATGGAAATCAAGCTCACTAATCAACACTCTAAGGAAAGTCTGTTTTTCAGAATTAATTTATCACACCTGGGAAGAGAGGAACAATCGCATCTTCAGAGGGAATCCAGCTTCGCAGAGCAGGGTTCTCGCTAAAGTCTGCAATTCAATCACCTCAATCCTCCGTCTGGGTTGTCTTAGGGATTACGTGGCTTCTAGATCGATTCTGAGCAGCTAGAATCTTTCTCCATCTTGTTGCAGGCCTCCTCTGAGGCCACCGAACTGAAATTCATGGAGATTATCTCTCCATCGTTGTAGGGTTTGCTCACCGGATCTGTGTTTAAGATCTTCATGTAATGGTTTCAACTGCTACCTGAAGTCCTTTTTTGCTTTGGGTTGGGCTTAACTCTGGGCTGGTTCTGTTGCTTCGGGTCGGGTTTGCCTTTGGGCTTTATTTGCCGCTAATGGGCTGTTTTGGCCGAAGGTCTTTCTTATAACTTTTTTCCATTTATACAATTCGCTTAAATAAAAAATAAAAAAGAAAAGAAAAGAAAAAAAGAATGCCGGCCAAATTACATTCATTTCTGTTCAGATTTGAACAAATTACACAATATAGAGCGTTTGATTTTTATTATTTTAACATTTTTTCAAAATATGAAATATTTTTATATTTTTATTTAATTTATGCTGTATAAAAAAAAAAATCTATGCTTTATAAAAAAAAATGCAAAAAATACTCCCGTTTTTATAAATTGCACATAAATTTTTGTATTTTGAAAATTTATAGCAAATTACCCACCGGTCACTGTTTTTAACCAATTTTTTATAAACATTCCAAAATACCCTTAAGGGAATTTTAGGTATTTCTTTCTTTAATAAAAAATAATTAACAATTAAATTAAATAATAAAAAAAATAGCATAAATAAATTTTCTGGTGTTTTTATAAATTTTAAAAAAAAATTCCCTTTATTTATTATTATTATTATTTTTTTTTTTTTTTTTGTCTTAAGGACATGTTAGGTATTTCATCTTTCAAATTAGAGAATTCTTTTATTTGCTCAATTTGAGAAATGTAGGGATTTTTTTTTTCCAATATATAGGAGATATTTGCACATTCTGTATCCCACAATGGTTTATTTTTGCACTTTAATTACCCTTAATTATTTATATTTTTTATTTTACTAATACTTTTGTAAATAAAATAATATACAAGGATAAAATGGTATTTTTATTAGCATGAAACCGTTTGAATTGTGGGATTTAGATTGGTTTTAAAAATCTACGTGAACTTACCATTGTTAGTTCACATCTAAGGAGAAATTATGTATTTCTCCCTTAAACCAATGGTCCCATTTCAGTTGCCATCTGACAGGTGATTAATGGTCCTTGGTCCATATAATAATCTCTTGAGAAGAAGATGTAAGCCCATAAAACAAAATTTTGAAACAAATTAAGGTAATCACCCATTACTTCAATGACCAAGTTATATGGTCATCGAGTCATGAGTTCATCATAAATTGGGGATCCTCTATATTCCAACGTAAGTGATTATACGGCATTCAACAGATCCTAGCTCATACACGTATGGATAGGGTTGCAAACGAATCGAGCCGAGTCGAGCTTTGGCAGTCTTAGCTCGCCACAATCAAGGAAGTGCTCGGGCTTAACTCGTCAGAAAATCGGTGAGCTCAAGCTCATCTGCACACATATATAAACAACACATATATTTTTTTTTCCTCTCTCAGTACACATACACACACACTATCTTAGGTATATATAATACAAAACAAATTAGTGTATATATATAACACAAACAAAGCATATATATATATATATATATATATATATATATATATGTATATTGACCTATAGATGTGGATATATATATGTGCATGCCTTGAGGTTGTCTGAAATCATCAACCTAGTTCTCTTTTTACAATTAATTTCATTACTTGTCCATTGTTGTCCTCAAAGAATATGAAATATTGAAGGGCAAAGAAGGTCATTGTCCATCATTGCGGGGAATGCAAGAGGAAAGGGGTTGCGCCTAATTCATTATAGAAAGTGAAATAAGAATAGGGTTTTGTTGTTGTTAACATAAATGGGTCTTTAAGATGAATATGTGTCATTTTTTCTTGGACTTTCTCATTTAGATAGTAATACGTTTTACAAATGGGCTTATGTTATATAATGTTAATAAATCAAATTTGTCCACATATATGGACTGGATCAAAAACTTAACGAGCCGTGTTCACAAGCCCAAACGAGTCGAGCCCAACATTATTCTGGCTTGGCTTGTTTGCTAAACGAGTGTAAAAATTGGGCTCGAGCTTGGCTCGCTTGCTTAACGAACGAACCTGAGTCGAATCGAGTTATTTATGAACAACTCAGTTCATTTGCAGTCCTACACATGGATCTCAACATATGTAAAGTTTGGAATCCGTAGGATATAGTATAACACCACATAGAGAATCCCAGGTTACAACAGTGATGCCGCCAGTGTCTTATGGGAAAATAATGAAAACAACATTTACACTCTTAAATTATTATAGTGAATATGTGTTGTGAACAATTTAATGACCTTGGAATGACCGTTGTCACCAGGTTCTTTTTGCCTTTGCTGAAAAGGACTTCGGAAATGGAAAAATGGAATGGAAAAAGATGGAAATGCTTGGTGAAAGTGTCACTGGAACAATGAAATGAACTGAACTAAATTGAATTTCATTAAACTAAGAACTGAAGTAGAAGTGCTGGAAATTAAAGGAATTGAAATACATGTGCGGGAAATTAAAGGGCTTGAAAAATAAATATTCCCCTATGAAAAGATATTTTGCATGAATTGAAATGTCAAGTCAAAATAGAAGTTGTTTGATATGTGTGGAGATGCCTTTTTATTCTGTCCAAGTCTTCTATTTATAGCCAGTGGCAGTTCCATCTATTGTTGAGATACTTTCAAGTGGAACGTCCGATTTGTGCTAAGTGGAATGTCTGATTTGTGCCACATGGAACGCCTGATTTTTGCCACGTGTCCCATGTTTCCCTTAGTCTTCTCACAATATTAACACGTGTAAGAACATGATGTCCCATGAATTGCAACTTTGAATGAGTGATTTTAGTGTTTCACTTCCAATTGAAGGCTTCTAGCCACGTTTTGAAACTACTAAGTGGAATGGGCCATGACCTTCTAACTGTAAGTAACCACCTCCAATTGCAGATAACTGCTTTCCTCTTTGGTTAACACGTATCCCATTCAGCAATAACTTTCCAATAATAGAAAACTACTTCTTTATTTGCCTGCCACGTGTCCACTTGGAAAGTCACATGTCCTTCCAACTACAGGTAACTGTTTTCCTCTTTAACTGACACATGTCTCATTCAACAATAAATTTCCAACTGTCGAAAACTGTTTCCTTCTCTGCTTACCACGTGTGCCTTTGGAAAGTCACACCTCCTTCCAACTACAGGTAACTGTTTCTCTCTTTGATTGACACGTGTTCCTATACAGTTACTTGTACCTAATGGCTTCCTTTGATGAAGCCATATGTTGCTTCATGATTATATCTTTATTTACATATCACCCTTCCAAGTTGAAACATTCACCCTTCCAATTGGAAACATTCACCCTTCCAATTGGGATCGCCCACGACAACCTTTCTAATCTGGAAATAGATGATAATTATAATATAAACATTGCCCCCAAGTTTTATGTGCCTGATATTCTCTGAAGAAAAATAAGACATATAAAATTTTAGATAATGAGTGAGAATTTGGCATCCGATACTTCTATTAGGTGAGGAATGGGACAACTAGTATTTTTCAGCCTATTGTCTAGGCCGAAAGTTATAATCTTGAGTGCTTGATACCTTTCATCCAATTCATTTCCCCCCAGGGTCTAGAGGTTGATTGTCCATACATTTCCTCCCAAACACCATTAGAAGTGGGTTTGGGTCTGCTAGAAGGTTGTTCCTCCATCGAGATTTCTTTGTATAGGGTAGTTGTTGCGGAGCACATGGACAGGTTTGTACATGATGTTGGGACCTTTCCCATTCTGCTATTGCATTCCAAAAACATTCTTAAATCTTTTCCTAGAGTTCTCGAAAATATTGCTCACATTCTTCGGCAATAAATAGGTTGGGACTCGTTAAAATTCTTCTTCCATCCATTATATCCAATTTCTTTAATCGGTAGTACCACTAGTCGTGCCAAAATGTTTGGCCACAAAAATTTTGTCCCTTCCAAGTGGAAAGGTGAAAGGTTCGGGCGTGCTAGGATTCACCGAGAATCTAATGGAGATGGAATAGAGCCAAAATAGATTCCAAATCTGGCTGTAAGAGGCTTGAAGTTCAGGCGATTTTTGGAGAGCTTGGAATGAGAGCTCTCGCTAGGTTCTTTTTGCCTTTGTGGAAAAGGACTTCGAAAATGGAAAGATGGAACGGAAAAAAATGGAAATGCTTGGTAAAAGTGTCATTGGAAGAATGAAATTAACTGAACTAAATTGAATTAAAATACATGTACGGGGAATTAAAGTGCTTGAAAAGTAAAGATTACACTAAGAAAAGATAAAGTGCGTGAATTGAAATGAAAAGTGAAAATAGGAGTTGTTTGATCTGTGTGGAGATGCCTTTTTATTTTTTCCAAATCTTGTAGTTATAGCCAGTGGTAGTTCCATCTATTGTTAAAATGCTTCAAAATAAAACGCCCGATTTGTGCCAAGTAGAATGTCTGATTTGTGCCACATGAACGTTTGATTTTGGCCATGTGTCCCATGTCTCCTTAGTCTTCTCACAATGTTGACACGTGTAAGAACATGATGTCCCATGAATTACAGGTTTGAAAGAGTGGTTTTGGTGGTTTAATTCCAATTGAAGGCTTATAGCCACGTTCTGAAACTGCTAAGTGGAATGGGCCACGATCTTCCAGCTGCAAGTAACCACCTCCAACTGCAGGTAACTGCTTTCTTCTTTGGCTGACACATGTCCTATTTAGTAACAACTTTCCAACAATAGAAAACTACTTCCTTCTCTGCCTACCACATGTTCACTTGGAAAGTCAAACGTCCTTCTAACTACAAGTAACTGCTTTCCTCTTTGACTTGCATGTGTCTCATTTAACTATAACTTTCTTACTGTAGAAAATTGTTTCCTTATCTACTTGCCACATGTCCCTTTGGAAAGTCAGACATCCTTTCAATACAGGTAATTGCTACTCTCTTTGGCTGATATATGTTCTTATGCAGTTACTTGTACCAAATGGCCTCCTTTGATGAAGCCACGTGTTGCTTCATGATCACATCCTTCTTTGCATATCAACCTTCCTATTGGAAACGTTCACCCTTCCAATTGGGATCTACCACGACAACCTTTCTAATTTGGAAATTGTTAGATATTTAATTATACATAAATTATTTTTCCAAAAAACATATATGGTTCTGAAAATTTCTTTAACCTACCTTGTTGCCATCAGCAATGGGTTAATTATATGTAATCCTTAAAAACATTACTGAAAATATTAAAAATTAAATTGCCAATCAATTTAACCTCTCATAGTCTAAAGTTTAGTAATAGGAATAATCACGTTTTTGCAATCAAAATCTCTCTTTTATTTAGTATATCTTACATTACAAAAGTTCTATGTTTCCATACATTTGTTTTGCAAAAATGGGACTTTAGTAGATGAAGATGAATCACAATCACTTAATTCATTCCCTTCAATAGTCTTCTCTTCTCTAGCTTTTCCCCACATCACTGAGTAGAAACCAATAGCTATAATAGCTGCTCCAATCACACTGCACAAATATTTTAAATAAACCATGTATCTTAATTCATTGACCTTGGTTGCAAAAGAAATAAATAATTGAAAATAGATGCCCAAGCATAAAACATTTTACCTCCATATAACTTAAATTAATTTTTTAAGAAATGAAATTGAAAATTTACAAGGTAAGGAAATACTATTAGACAAAATAAAATGGGCGCATGGGTTAGCTTCTTAATCAAGATATTACATCCATTTTATAAGGTGAGAAAATACAACTAGACAAATTTATTTCTTAAAATTTAAGTAGGCGAGTGTAGCGTTCAACTGAAACATGAAAAATTAAAATAGTTGGGCCAAGTCGAATTCTAGAAGTGATGGGTAAACCATGTCGTTATGTTAACATTTTTGCAAAGCTGTAGTTGATTGGCCCAATTCAAGCACTTTTAACTATATTTAATGCAAATCATGAAATTGTATGAGCTTTTCTCATCATAAAGCTAGTATATGTTCCTCAACTGATATGTAGGGACACCCATGGTTGGATCTATAAATCTTCATATTTTCATCCATGGAGTTTAAATGCAGGGACACCCATGGTTGATAATGAGTAGACCCTTAGCCCAACCCAAACCAAATAAAAGATGGGTTGGTTATGTTTCGACCCTTTTGGGTAGGTCTTCGCTGGGCTTGCTTCTTTTTATACATGTCGGAACTAATGGACTATAGTTGGCCTAGGCCTTGCTAATGTGCAACACTAGCTGAAAACAAGCCATCACCCCAGCAGACTTTCCAAATGATAATTGCACAGTGCATGTGGAATGGGAGGATTACATGTGCGCGGTGGTAAATTATAGGGTGCTCTAGAAAAGCCCGACACCACCATTGTCGACCAAAAAACAAAACTTGCATATAACAATCATATTTATAAAATTCAAAAATCATAGAGGCTATTACCTCCCAATATGCAAAGTATCCCCTAGAAAAGTAACCCCCATGACAACTGCAATGACCATTCCAAGAGGTTTAAACATTGTAACAAAGACAGGCCCCTTCTTGCGCAAAGCCCATGTGTGAGCTACACTCCTAAATGCAATCACAGCAATTGCCTACAGATTAAGAACTCGTCAATTTATTACATACAAAAAAATAAAACACCAACTTTATAACAATATACATCTATTTTTAATGTGGATATGTGTGAAAGTGTGAGACTTTAAATCTAAAAATTGGGAAGGAATGGGTTGTCCTAATTTCTATTTAATTTATTACAATATAATAGTGTAACATATCATTTTGTTATTATTATTTTATATAGGCAATTATAATTTAAATTATATGAGGTTTGATGAAGTAGAGGTTCTTAATATATTTTTATGATATCCCACGTTATTGAGAAGTTGTTGGAACTTGTAATGGGATACCTATTACACGTGTTCCTGAATGTGAATAGATTGCAAAGTGAGCAATATCTACAAAGTGGGATGAGTATTGACTGATAATTTTCTACATTGCCAGTTAAGATCGAAGAGAGAGTGACTATAACTTCACAATCTTGTTAATAAGGTAAATGGAGGAAAATACTTACCGAGTAGCAAATGCAAAGCAACTCAATATCAAGACTTAATTCCCAAGCACTTTGTGCCCTTTCTGCAATCAGAGCAACAATAGTAGATAGGATAGTCACAAAGCCACAAGCAATGAGTGTTACCATCAGCTCTGCAGGGTACTCCCTAATAATCCAAGTCTGGAGATGTAGAAAGACGTTAGCATTCACATAAACTTTTGACAATAATGCATTAATGAAGCATTTTAGATAAATTTCTATAATTTCTTGGCAATGTGTACCTGGACAATGTACAACAGTGCAAGCAAAAAGGCAGCAACAGCAAGGAGAAATCCTCCGATGATCCAGTTTGATTGAGGCGACGAAAGCGATTGAAAGAAGGTGATTGGCTGGCCTTTGTAGAAAGTCACTATGAATGCCCCTATGATTGAAATTGTGGTGCCAATGGACTTGGCCTGACTGCTTTGTGCTTTTATGTTTAGCTTTTCCATCCTAAAATGATTCATTTGATTTGAGTAAAAGTTAAACACGAATATACACACACACACACACACACACTCATATATATAATATGGACATTTGTACACTGACATAGTGATACCACTAACTAGCGACAACGAATCTGTCCGCTCTTGTAACTCAGAAAAAGGCATGAATAAATTAAGAGAAATGCTAAATATCATAAATGATTTTCATGATATAGTATCATGAATTATATGGCATGTGATTTGGTAGCCAAGTGTAATTTAAAAGTAATTTTTAGGAGAGAAAATATTAGAGAAGGGAGAGAAACTCAACAACAAAAGAAAGAAACGATAGAACGCTTGTAGGAAAACAAATACTGTGATTGAAATATATCTATATATATATATATACATATATATATATACTTTTGATTGATCAACAACTTTGATACGTTGTGAATCTATAATTTGTATTATGACTCTCAAATTTGGATTATATTTATAGTATATTGAGATCAGATTGTATAAGAGCGAGTGTGTGTGTATATAGAAGTGATTAAATTAAGATCAGGTTGTGTAAGTGTTGTGAACCACATCCTATGGCGTAGTGCTATTATTACTCAAAAACTCCCAAGCATCTATTCAAAATTTTGGTTAATGAGGAAGGATGTTTTGTTGTAGAGAATCAGGATCTTTATGGGATTCAATTAGGGTGCATATGCCCTAGACGATTACACGGATCAGAGCATCCAAGTACCTTTGGATATTTGATCTGTTACACAATGCAAGTGAAAAGATTTTCTATGTCATTTTGATAATTTGAGCCAGAAAAAGAGTTGACAGAGTTGACAGAGTGTTTGCTCACAAATGTGGAAGTGTGCGGATATGCCAGAGTCTTGGAAGAATCAGAGAGTATCGAACAAAAGTTATACTTTTGAATCGATCGGGTGATTATGTAGAAGGAATAAAAAACTCCTAATGGGGTTCTTTATGCCTTTGATTAAAGGACTTCTAACGTCTAAGATTGCAATGTAAAGCAAGTGTGAGGAATGTAAAGGAATTGAAAGTGCAGTGCTAAAATACAAGTGCTGGAAGATAAAGGAATTGAAAGAACTGAACTTGTATTCAAATTGTAGAAATTGAAATACAAGGAATTGAAATGACATTGAAAATGAAATGACAATTTAAGGAAATTGCATTGTATGAAGTTGTGGAGAGGATTTCAAATGTTGCCCCAAGTGTACTATTTATAAACATTACAAGCCTTACAAAAAGGACCATGTTTTGTGATAAACTAACTTCTAAACCCATGATCTACATGCCTTCTTCCAGCTTTGGTATGGTGACACCATGTGTCCCATTTCTTTAACCCATGTTCTACTTGCAATCTTTATTTCCAGCTTTGAATCAGAAGATATCTTGTGTCCTTTACCCATGGTTTGCCACTTCTCAGCCCACTTCCCTATATTATAGGAACTAACCATTCATCTAGAAGTTTTGCCATCGGCCATGTGTCCATCATATCTTGATTCATTATTAACAATTCCTCAGCCCACTCCCACTATTTTAGGGCCTGATATGTGTCCTATTTGTATGCTGGATAAGTGTCCCAATAATCCTTTTAGTGGACCATTAAATCAGCCACTAACTAACCCAATTGGTAGTTCTGTTGTCCGCCACGTGTCCACTATATGTAAAGTGTACCATCATTTCCAACATTGTACCAACAAACTAACACACCTCCTTTTTTATAGCAATATAGTCATTCACATATGTAAGGATACTGTTTATGCCTACTCACCTCCTTAATTTTAGGAACCAAATTAGGCCACTTATAACACCCACTATCCTGGAGTATAGGAAACTCATATCATCTCATTTTAAATCTAATTTATGCTCCACGTATATAATGCATAATCCATTCTTTTTAAGACTTGTTTGGGGTGTTAATTATATATGTTTTTATGGCTGAATTATATAGCTAGCTGGTCTATACAATTTTGCCACATGTAAGCTCTTAGATTCTTCCGAGTGTCAGTTGAAATATTGCACACTTGTCATTTGCTGGACCACACAAGTGTTAGGCTTTCATTTACCTTCAGCAAATGCATGTGTCCCCGCATTATTGGACCATAATTTGGTCCGCTTGTCTCTCTTTCATTTGCCATGTGGATGCCAAAGTGGCTACCACTTAGGCTGAAATTTTTTGTGTCAACATTATGCCTCCCAAATTTCAAATGTCTTATGGCTTCATAAGCCTATAAGATTTTGAAATTGAAAATATTTAGGAAAGAAATTTTCATAACAAGGGCTGAACTAATAATTAGAATAAAATAGCAAATAAACAAACTCAAAACAATTATCAACTTCCTTTATTTTGGACCACCACTAAGATGATCTTTATTCCATGTCAGCCTACTACCGTGGCTAAGCATGGTTCTTTCATAACTTCCCATAAAGTTAGCTGATACCCTTCAATGTTTTTGCTATCAATAGACCTAAAATAGACGTCATCATTAAGGATTTCTGACACTATCAGTAAGGCATGATCGTGATCGGATGAGATTAGGTTGCTATGTAACATCATTTTGGCTAATTTGACTGCCATCTGTACTGGAAGAACGACATTGTGGTAGTATGGAGTTATTTTAGTGCATAATCTTCTTGAATTTCTATGTGCCCATAACTCTTTTGATAGCAATTCATGCCAAGTCTTTGGATTTTTATCTTCTTTAATAATTTTAGCCATGTCGGCCGAAAACATTTGCAATAGAATTTCTCTGATGAACGATTGTTTCTCGGCCAAGTAAGCTTTTAGCTTAATAGAAGCGGCCTGGAAGGCCCGCTCTCTCCTTGATTCTTTATTGGGCTCTTTCTCGATCATCAACTGTTTGGATTTCAATAACTGGCCGTGGAAGTTGTATCATCGGCCATGAAAGTTCTTTGAGAAACTTATTAAAATCAGTATCAACCACACTTCTTTTCAAAGTGGTGGATGTTGGTCTCCCTATTTCATCTATGCCTATGAACCTCAAGGTTATAACATAAATGACGTTGACGGCCGATTCATACTCTTCCAGAACCCTATTAACTGGTTGGTCTTCCACCCAAACTTTTGCATATAATGGCCTTAGTTGTTGGATCATGGCCAAAAGCGGTTTCTTAAATACCATATTATCAGCAAGACCTGTCCCTTCTATTGTAATCCATCCCTTCTTAACTGGGTTTACTTTCTCGGCCACCATTTCAACCACAGCTTTTGTCTTCAATAGTGGCTTTAGGCGGCTCTCATGTCATAAAGCTTTCTTCCAATGTCATTGGCTGACGAGGAGTAACCTCAAAGGCAACTGGTAACACAATGGCCATCTTGTAAGAAAATTTATCGAGAAAATTTTCAAAGCGAACTTTATACTTAGGGGTATGCTTGGGATCCACATTTGTGTCTTTGTCTTGCCCCCCGAGTATGGACTCATCATCATAAAAAAAAAATTACTATGTTCAAATCCTCTGGTCGATCCTTCATCTTTCTATCCCTGCTTTCAACTAATTGGGAAAATCCGTTTTGAGATTCTTCTTTGTTCCTTGACTCAGCCTTTCTGCATTTTAACTGCCTTTTCTGGGTTCAAGTAAGGATGTGCTTGGCTGAGTCTCTTTCTTTTGGGAACTTTGGATGTTTGAGTCTTCTCTATTTCTTAGGTGGAGTTAAGGGTGGTCTCATCATTCTGACCTTGTGGAAGACGTTTCCTTTTATGATGCAGACCTTAGATTGTATTTGAGGCCTTTTTTTTTTAAATTTTGTTGTCTGCATTGATTTAGAAGAATCCTTTTTACTGCTGATCTTTTGGAGTGTGTAACTGTAACTCCTTTCAGCTAATTTGATTCTAGCCGATGGTCTATTTGACCTTTGTTAAAGGTTAATATATCATCAACACTTCTTTTGGAAGAATGAGAATCTCTCCTGTGGAAGTGGTTATCTCTTTCACAATCACGCCTTCTGTAGTTGAGGTAGTAACAAATACTGTTGAGAGCTATTTGAGCTTCTTATAGTTTTCTCTTTAATATTCCACCATTTGGCTATCTGGAATGGCCGATGGTGTACCTTCCATAGCCTTGGACATCTTTTCTTCTTCCTGAAGATCAGCTTTCTTTTTGGGAGCAAGGCTGATCAAGTAACTGTTGACAATGGTGGGAAAAGGATCACTGTGAATCCTTGTAACTTTCAGCTTCTTTTATCAGAATTTCATAGTGCCGTCGTCAATCGCTTTTTGTAAAACATTTTGGAAGACCATACAGTTGTTAGTAGTGTGATTCCAGGAATTATGGTACTTGTAGAATTCTTTTCCTTTTTGTTTATTAGCCGAAGGAATAGTATGCCATTTAGGCAAATAAATTCAGTTATCAGTTCTGAGATGATCAAATATTTGCTCTATTTTGGACAAGTCAAAAGAGTAGACTTTTTCAGTATCAGCCAACTCTTTTTTGGCCGACGAGGTAGATGCCTGACCACCACTTATGGATGATTTTGGTTTGGTCAAAACCTCACATATATAAGGCTTCTTAATACAGATCTCGACTATGTTGGCATTGAGATCATATTCCAGATTAGTTGAAAAGACCTCATAATTAAGGTCTCGATAATAAGTGCCTTTGGAAGAGTTCTTTCTTTCCTTCTCTTCCTTGAGGATGGCCGCATATCTGTTGGCCTGATCGGGTATTTCAAATAAGGCTCAAAATTCAACTCCCTCGAATTGTTTCCAGATTTCAAAGTCTAGGCCATTAAGGGCTAGCCTAATGGAAAAACAATGCGACATTTGAGTCTGTCAATAAAGTTTTATACCAACTCATTAGCCACTTGGCAGAGTTGAGTCGAGATATGTCAGCCAAAGTTGCTTCTAATTCCATCCGGTAAAACTGTATATGAAATAATTTTTCCATATGCTGCGACGAATGAACATAATTTGGCGAAAGATTGATATACCAAGAAAAGGCTGCTTACATGAGGGAGTTTGGAAATACCCTTATTTTTAA